ACTTCGCGTGAAGAAGTTATGATAAACCGAACAATATAAATCTCTATAATAAGAGGAATTTAAAATATACTTAGAAATACCTATTGGAGTCTAAAAGAGAGTTGTAGTATTTGTAAATACCTACGCGTGCATATAAAGATTGTCAAAAACGGAGTTCGTATGCAAAAGTTATGACCTTCCGAAGATACAGCTGTCAGAAACCCTAATCTGACTGAACTCACGAGGTGAGCATAGATGTTCACGAGGTGAGGAGTCATTTTGCCACATCTATGAATCTAGAAGGTGTGATGAGGCTACGAGGGGATAAGATCCACACTCACGACGTGAGCAAGGATTGATTCACATCGTGAGGAGTCAAAGGGACACCTTCCGAAGCTAGAAAACGGATGGCAAGTCTACGAAGAGATAAGTTCCAAACTCACGACGTGAACATTGAGTTTCTCACGTCGTGAGGGTCCAAAATCCTTCCTATAAATAGCAGGTCCGACCTTGACACTTCCTTACACCATTTCCCTTTCTCCTCTCTCCTTTGCTAAAGCCTTCTTGCATCCCGAGCCCCGACGACCTCGTACCGCTAACCGTTTTTGCTTAGATTACATAAAATCACGCTACTAAGGTGAGTTTCACGGCCCAACTTTCTAATACTTTTTGGGGAAAAGGCATGCTAAATATTGTATATATGTTATTATTATGTCTATATGATAGTATGTTCGTATCAACATATATAGTTATATTAATCGGAATATAGTTGTTTTGTCTCGTATATACCTAAAGTATATATGATATTTTGAAATCACACAACTATGTTAAACTTGTTAACATGTTAGTATTATAGAAGTATACTAATATATACTCGGAATTATACTCGAGAATTATATATATATGTGTGATGTAACTTGTGAGTTATACTTCAGAGTTCTATTTATACTATGTGGTGTGAATGACCCAGAGTTATACTCGGAAGTTATATATATATTATTTGTTAAGTATGTTATATGATATTGTTGGTTTTATGTCAAGATAAAGTTGTATGTTGTTATTGGTTTTATGTCAAGATAAAACCTGTTTTACCTCCAGTTATAGCTGTTGTACTGCCTAAATGTTATGAAGTTATGAGTAATGTTTAAAAGCATAGTCTAATAATTTAGGGTTTTAGACACGGAAATGCTTTTGTTGTTAGGACTATAGAACGCCGTCAAAGTCTACATGAGCTACCTCATTCATCAACTAAGATTGAGGATCTTAGTGGAAGTCCTCTGACCTGTAACCGTTAATCCCGTGTGAGCGAGGAAGTCGTGTATGAATAAGATACGGGTTGACGACCCCACTTGTGGTTGTTAATTTCAACCCAAGACAAGTGAGTGATGATCCGTTCCTTTTATTTGTTATTGTTCCGGCGTCGATGAAGCGCGAGGTATTGTTTCTCATGGTAAATCATGAGTGTGTTGTTTCTCATGGTAAATAATGAGTGTGTTTTGTCAGAGGTTTTGTTGTCAAGCAACGGTTACAGACTCATGGTAGCAACTTGTTAGAAACATTATACTTCGTCACTATACAGGTATTAATGTTAATGATAAGTTTCCCCATACTTATACCTTAGGTTCAAATGAAGTATATGTATATCACTTATTTAATAAGTAAACCATTATACCTAATATATATACTAAATGTTGGAGAGTCAAAATGATACTTTCGAAACTATACTTTTTGAACATGAGAAAAAGTGTTATTTTATATGGAGTCAAAACATGTGAACTCACCAACTTTATGTTGACGTATTTTAAAATGCATGTGTTTTCAGGAAGTTGATAACTATGATACAAGAAATGACGTTACACTGTCCGATGTTTCCGCCGACGGCCGGGGTGTGACAATTATTAACAAGGAACCAATCGTGAGCATCGAAATTTAAAGCGATCAACGGTCAAGAAAATGGGTGTACACTTATACATTGGACGCACATATACCGGATTATACCATAAAACTCACATCTTTACCAAATAAACCATCTTTTTTTTCGTTTAATTTTTTTAAGCCACATTTTTTATCGGGAAAAAAACCCGAATATACCGTTGTTCACGATTTTTCGTCATCTTTCCATAGAGATCCATGTTGATAGATAATTTTTTTTTTCGAAAAAACTCACTTCGTTTTGTTGTTTTTTTCAATACTTAAGTTTATTTTATAAAAAAAAACTACTTATACAAAAAATTTCAATTTTTTGTTCTCTATTAATTAACATAAACATCGATTAAAAAAAAGGAAAATACCAGCATTAGTCAAAAAATGGGTGGTATTTTCAAAATTTAGACATGAAAATGGACATTTTCGGGTATAGACATGCATTCCGCGGAGGTAGCTCTACGGAGCTCCGCGAAATCTACTGTAGCTCCGCGGAATGGCAAAATCGTAAATAAATTAGTGTATTAAAAAAAACTCAAGATCCATTCCGCGGAGCTACAGTGGATTCCGCGGAGGTAGCTCCGAGGAATGGATTTTCAGTTTTTTTTTTTTTCAAATCGATTCTTCGGGGTTTATATTCATTCCCCCAACTAATTATTTTCAAGAAAAGATTATGATAGTATGAATTTTTCTTGACAATGTTTGGAATGAATGTGATGTGGAAAAAATTGGTCTTTTAATTAGAGATCATTACATAAAAGAATCATTGGAGGAGATTTTTTTTTCTGAAGATCTATTCCTCGGAGCTACCTCTGCGGAGCTCCGCGGAATCCACTATAGCTCCGCGGAATGGATCTTGAGTTTTTTTTTAATACACTAATTTATTTACGATTTTTTCATTCCGCGGAGCTACAGTAGATTCCGCGGAGCTACCTCCGCGGAATGCATGTCTATACCCGGAAATATCCATTTTCATGTCTAAATTTTGAAAATACACCCCATTTTTTTTTACTATTGTCGGTATTTTCCTTTAAAAAAAACCTCGACCAGTTTAGATTCACAGTGTGAATCTGAACTGTAAATATTTCAATTTTAACATTCACAATGTGAATTTGACTTAATATTATTCACATTGTGAATCTGAGCAGATTCACAATGTGAATCTATACTGAATTTTTTTTAAATCAATCTGAATCTATGTTTAAAGAATACCAAAAATTATAAATTTTGATATATTTATTAAAAATTTTCGATAAAAAATAGACCTTAACTTTTTATAAAACAAAGAAATGAAGTGGATTATTTTGGAAAAAAAAATCATTTTTTGTACAATATAGATCTCTATGGAAGGAGGACGAAAAATCATGAACAATGGTATATTCGTTTTTTTTTTCAATAAAAACATGGCCTAAAATATTAAACGAAAAAAGAAGAAGTGAGCAGAAAATAAACGATTTCTGAATTAACATTTTGCTAGAATTTACAGGCTCTTTGCCCTATCTAGCATTTGGCCAATGCCAAAGTGATGCTTACTCATTCACTTCATGGTCAAATGCTACATACCAATACCCAAGTGATGCTTAGTCATTCACCTCGTGGTCAAAGGTATAGCTCATTATCATAATAACACGGGAAAGCACATTGCACATATAACACATACCATATAATTGTTCCTATAATTTGAACTCACTAAGCGTCACCGCTTATCTCTCTAAGTGTTTAATTATTGCAGGTGATAAACATCCAGTATAGTTATGTACTGTTAGAAGATGTAGAATAGATAATATTATAGCGTTTGTATTTAGTGTATAAATTCCTGGGAAGTTATGTAATATATAAAACTTTGTAAAAACCTCATTAGTCGGTTTGTATTCAGTCTTTTGTAATAAGACCATTTATGTAAAATATGTTTATAAATATGCATGTAGCATGTTTGGAGTAATAATGTTAAGTATGGAAAAATGGTCTTTCAGTCATAGTATCATAACCGGTGCATGTGCGTCCATTGTAAAAGTCTACAACCATTATTTTTGCCGTTGATCGCTTTAAATTCCGACGTTTTAGATTGGAATCTTGGTTCCTTGATTAAATGATTATCTATTGAACTTTTATATATATATATATATATATATATATATATATATATATATATATATATATATTGTTATTTATGTTTTTATATTTAATCAATTCATAAATGATAATGCATAATATGCATAAATGAAAGTCAGTAGATACATTAAGGTTTTTTAGTGTAATTTTTTGGAATACTTTTTCTGTTTGTTTCTTAGTTTTGCAAAAAAAATGATTTATTTATACTTTTATTGTTCATTTTGAAGGCAAGTGTAATTTTTGGAATATTTTTTATGTTTATTTCTTATTTTTGCAAAAAATGGATTTATCAATGTTATTGTTTGTGTTTGAAAGCATTTGTTGATTATAGTGTTTTATATTATTTTTGTTAGTTTTTGTTTTGTTGGTTAATATATAACCAAGTTATTTTTTAAGAAAGTTCAAAACCTTGTAACTAGAAAAAATCCAATATCCACGATTACCCAAATAGAGATTTTTAATCTCTTTTGAGTATGGGGATTCAGGCATGGAGATGGGGACACAAAACCCGGGTCGTTGCCATCCTATATCCAATGCGAGACTCCATCCTATATCCAATGCGAGACTCCAAAGCAAGACTCCAAACCGTATTCTGACCGACCCGGTGTATATATTGGCTCTCTGCTGCAGTTAAAGAGCTTCAAACATACGCACATTTCACACACACTCAAATTCTCGCTTTTTTCTTTTCTTGTTTTTCTTCTATAATCTATAATATCTTCATCGCAAACCTGTTAGTTATTGGTGGTTTGCTGAAATTATTAGGTTACAAGTTGTCTTTGAATCTTTTGGTCTTTACTAATTAGAGGTCTTCTTTACTAGAGGTGTGTTGGGAGCTATTTTGTCCCTTATAAATTAAAGGTATAGAATTTTAATGAAACAGTGTTTTGAACATAAGTCTAATCGAATTCCAAAACCGTAAAGAGTATGATCTTGACCCCGTTAATTAACAAAGATGAATAAACAGTACACAAATACCAGTCAACGTGGTTCATTTTGTTAATAAATAAGCAACATGCATTCGAATTTACACAAACAGACGACCAAATCAAATATAAAGATCAAACTCCAACCAACAACACCGGCACTCCCATCGTCTCTTTTATTACAAAACTACAGATATATAGCATCAAACCCTAGCACCAACTCCGGTTGTCCCTTTCACGCCTGTATCCGCCGGATGTGTCCCCATTCCGTAGTCTGTGTCACGATACCCCGGCCCATACCGGCTGCTGTAAAGTCCGGCATGCACCAGCAATACATAGAGAAGCTCCGTCACAGCCAAGATTATGATAAAAGCCTCCACCACCCTCAGCCTCCACCCTCTATGACCTCCGACGTTTATCTCCTTGCATGCCAACCTATACACCATTTTCAAAGGTCGGTTTCGGAATTTGGAAGAAGAGATGAACTTATAATGAAGTATCAGTAGTAAAACGTAAAACAAAAAACTAAAAAGACTACCCGAAAGCAAGAGCAGTGACGGCCCAGGCCACCAGAGACGATGATCCGGCGGCGGCAAGACTATCGTTTCTCCAGGCTCTAAGGTGGTTGCCACCGGCGAATTTGGAGACGATTCCGAGGACTGAAGCTAAGATTGCGAACTCCAAGAAGAACTCTGTCGCTCCGTTTCCACCAAAACCTACAAATCATGTCAGTGATTAGTTTTAATGATAGATGTTGATCTTGCAACTGAAAGCAAATGAAGAACAAAAAATTCATGGAGCTCACTTGGGTGGTTGGTTTGGTGATTGATGAGTTTGTTGAGACACCAACTAGCAAACCCTAAAGTGATGCAGTACATCACCAGGTTAAGAAACAGCAATGGGGCTGCTACGTTTCTTCCCACCGTCTGTGCCATGATCAGCAAGCCAGATTTAAGATTTCCGACAAACAAACCTTGAAGTTATGTTAATTCTTCACTGAAACCAAAATAAACACTGCTGGGACCTGTTGAATTGAATGATGGTTAAAGGTGGCGGAGGAATATATAGACAAAGGAGACGGTGGTGGGTGGTGGGTGAGTGGCAACTCAGGTGATACGTGTCGATCGATTCAAGATTTACGCTTTTGTTTACAGGTGTCGGGACACGTGTCAGATGGTTAGCCTACACCGGGAGAGCTCCCAACAAAGCTCTGTTCCACCAACCTTTTGATAAGCAAGATGGATTGTGGATGGGAGGAAAGTGTTCGTCGACTATACGACGTCACGGTGGTGCCGCCGTCGTCATCATCGGTAAATCGGTGGGTTGTGAGAGTTATCCTTGCTAGTGGGTCCCTGCTGCTTTGGTTTGAAGTTTGGATAATAAACCTGTTAACGTGTGATTCAGAAGTATTACATATTCGGTTGTCTGTTACGATTTCTTGGAAATTGTAAACTTCAACAGTAATGAGTCGCAGTGAAATATTGTTTATGTATTTTCTGATCATTGTTTATATTTGAAGGAACGCATTCTCAAATTCCATTTAAAAACTTATCGTACGTTTAACTTTAATCAAAGGTTGAAAGAACACACTGACTCTTGATATTTGAATATTTGAGTTAGAAATCGAGTATGTTATTATAGGAATGCAAATTTAGAAATAAGTTTATAATGACATATTATTATATGGTCCATTTATAATTTTTTTACCTAACATGTTTTTAGGGATGTCAAAAAGTCCCGTGGGGGCCCGTCCCGTTTTGGGGGAATTTTTTTTAAAAACTCGGTGGCGGGGACGGGGGTGGGAGAAAGGTTAACCCCCGTTTTAATTTCGGGGGCGGGGGCGGGGGTAGACAATCCCGTCCCGAAACCCTCATGGGACCCGTTAATAAATTACACATATATTTATATATATTAATTATATAAATATAATAAACAATTAGCTGGGAAACCCCGCTCCGCGGGGTTCGGAACAAACAAATTTACTGAACACACACGGGTTGGATATTTTTGTTGATGTTTGGTGGGTGACGAAAGTAGGATGCTATAATGTCATTCAAATACAAACCAACCGGATAGATTGAAAACAATATAATGTCCTAATGTAAGAAAATCAAAGTAAACAAATAAATTAGTATAATGTCATTCAAGGCCTGCATAATCTGCAGTGTCAAGAAGTGTTGCCTGCATAACAATACAACAAAAGCATTCATATGATGCAAAAGGTTGGAAACAAATAGTATAATTTTAGAAGGGCATTAAGGTCGTTTGTACTGATGGGATAAAAAGTTGCAAACTTTCTCCCATTCACATTAGTGTCAGTCTTTTTTCCATTCACATTAGTGTCAGTCTTTTTTCAGTATAAATAAAAAAGAAAAAAAAACATGTATCGAGAACAATACCATGATTCCCATTTTGGGAAGAAATGTCTCAATGAAAATCCTTGTTTTCCTATAGCAATCAATACATCATCCATTCATCACAAAATAATGAATATATATTGTTATCATATCGTTGCAATGTTTTTGTTATTATCATTATCATTTTTTCTTTGATAATACATATGTTTGAAGAAAAAAATCAATTTGAGTTCAAATCTACTGCATTCCAATTTCAATTTAAGGAGTTGGAAATTATTTAACTATATCAATTGGATCTAATTTGTTTTTTTTTTTAATTTAGCTAAAATGATTTTTTTTATTATAGATAAGCTGAAAACACTCTGCTACAAAAACAAAAACATACCCCAATTGTAGGCGACAAACCTTTGTTTGACCAGCAGTATGAGTATCCCATTTCTGAATAGTCTCTTTGAAATTCAACCCCAATTGTAGTTATGTGTAATATGCTCAGCCCGGGTAAAACCCACCTTTAACCGGAAAATCTAAAAAAACACAATTGAAGTAAAGTTAATCAAAATGAAAATTTGATCATTAAAACAATGAAGGGGACCCACAACCATACTGGTAATAAAAGTTAAAAAACACAAACACACATAATATTTAGGTGTACTTTCGACAATGGCCGAATTAAGTATTTGGACTTTCTATTTCCTTTTTCATATCAAGAATAAAGAAAAAAAGGAAAAAGAGATATGAAATTGCCTTAAGAGATCCAGAAGGTGGAACAACAAACAAATTCCAATCAATTTCATCATCATACTTCTTTCTTTCTCTATAAACAACCCTTGCACTATTATATTTTGGTTGATATTCAAATACCAATCATGTATCCTACATATAGACAATTAAGTGAAATAATGATGAAAAAATAAAATAAAAAGGTCCTATTGTTTTGTGGAAACAAAAATATTACAAACAGGTAAAGAATTCAAGAAGTTAATATATTAAGTCCACATAGGCCCAGAAGCAATATCAGATCCGGATCATGAAGAAATAAACAAACATTAACAATCTGAACACCGGTAAATTGATGTGTTTGAATTACAATCTGAACACCCGTAACTTTTTGGTTGTAAGCTAAGAGTGCGTATGATTGTTTTTGAGAAAAGATTGATTTAAAATTCCAACTAAACATCTAAAAGTAAAGAACAAAAGACATGTCAACCAATAGTTGGGGCTAGAAAAAGTGTATCCGGTACAAATATTGAGCTGTAAGAAAGTAAAGTCAGGTACAGTAACAAATACCTAGTGTAATGTCAGATCGTGATCAACACTTTGCTAGAAGCCTGAAAATTTCTTACGACGGCTGCAAACAAAATTCAAAAAGTACAAACAAAATTCAAAAAAGTACATCACCTAACAGATTTATATCTTTTTCTAAATCCATTACAAAATTCCACACACCTAATGTCCAAAGAAGTGGCCTGCTGGATCACATTTGAAGAGTTTAGGCCCATTGTCATCATCAATACCCAACACCATAGCCACTGAAGTTCAAAAAAATCAATAAAATCAAGCACATTCACAAAAATAAACAACTAATAACAACTTCACATCTACAAACTAACCTACTCCAAGTGGTCTCATGTAAGCATGTTGAGTATAAACTTGTGATTTGTCAGCAATCCTGCAACATATAGATCTATCAACATAGAAAATGATATGACATAATATGAAAAATGGAAACCAAAAAAACTATAGGATCAATACCATCTTGCTAATACATAAACAGGCATCTCATAGCCATAATTATAACGAAAGTCAACTGCTTCATTTCTTGCTTGTTGAACCAATGTCTTCGCATCAGCTGGAAAGATGTACAAAACATTATTTGTTAGTTATTATTCTTGGCTCACACCAAAATATTTGATTTGAGGATCCAAATCATTGAAAAAAATAACCTGTAGTTCCAGTAGCTAACAATCCAAGGAACTTGGTGACAGGGAAAAGATGTGTAAGGCTGGTTGGATCCAAGAGCTTACAATAAAAGTGAATCCAATCTTGAAGTGGTGAAATGAAGTTCTTTGTACACAGTTAAGCATATGTTTTGGTTGGGACATATAATGAAAATAATAACTAACCTGGGCATTTTAACAAAGACCTGGTGTGCAATTACAATGGATGCTGGTTTTGTAGATTTTGAAAGTTGCTGATCTTTAACCCTCTGCATCACTCCCTAACAATCCCGTCCCCATGCATATGGTTGTTATCATCTGATAAAAAAATTGAAAAACCTGGTTGAAGCATTTTATCGAGCAGTTGGTGTGCATCCTAAGAGCTACAATCAAATTTCATATACTGGATTATGTATCATTTAAAAAACTAATCAATCAAAATATAGAAAAAGAGAATGAAAAGAAGAAGTCGAGAAGGATGGTGAAAATCGAAAATTGAAACCTTACCAGATGATCAACTGCACTGTATCAACGGTTCAGATGTACAAATTCATCAGGAAGGTGGTGAACGAACGAAACATATGGAATCAAAAAACAAATATGAAGTCGGTGGTGTGGTGGAGCGGGAACATATGTGCTGTCGGAACAACTCGATCAACAAAGAGCTATGTAGAAGAGAGACGTAGCATTGTATTCTCGGCGGTTCCATCCCTTAAAAATCAATGTACGTCTCAACTTATGGTCAATAAATGGGGAAGCAGTGGGTATCACTGGTGCGTCGTCGGAATTCACGATACGAGAGAGAGAGAGAGAGAGAGAGAGAGAGAGAGAGAGAGAGAGAGAGAGAGAGAGAGAGAGAGAGAGAGTGAGAAACACCCGACTGCAGCCGATAAACAGACAGAGAATAGAAAGGGCATTTGATCGGAGAGGCGGTGGCAAATTCCAGAATGTCGCTAAGATGAACATCAACAAATCCGACGAACGATGAACGACAGGTGTCCACAAAGAATACGAATATTGACATAAAATGACCCTAAAGACGATTTGAAGACACATACATAAACGGGGGACCATTTACGCCAAAAGGGACCCATGTTCACTGTTCATGTTGCTGCACAATTTTAATATATAGAAGATAAAATTGAAGGGCCACTTTTGCCAAAAAAACAGAAGTTCACTATTCATCTTTTAACACAACTTTAATATATATATAATAATAATAATAACATGATTTTTGAGCTTCCAAAGTTCATCAAAAAACATGTTATTAAGTTGCTAGTATAATGTTTTTAGGATGCCATAACTTTTTTATATTTAACATGTAAAATTTTGCTATAAATAATTATTTGTTACCTAAAAAATAGATCTTTTTAGCCTAAGTGACAACTTCTTTTAGCCAAAGAAAAAAGCAGCCCAAAATCAATCGGGGGCGGGGGAACGAGGGCGGGGGCGGGATAATAAACGGGATTCGGGGGCGGGACGGGGGTAAGAAGGCTGAATATTTCGGGGGCGGGGGTGGGGAGGGGGGGAACGGGGAAATTTCGGGGGCGGGGGCGGGGGATGCAATCTCCGTCCCGTTTTCCCCGTTGACATCCCTACATGTTTTAAAAATGGGGACTAATATATTGATTCATAAATAGCTTTAATCACATTCATATATATATATATATATATATATATATATATATATATATATATATATATATATATATATATTATATATATATTAGGATGGTTTGAGAACTCTATGATCCGGATATTTGTTAAAAAAGTAAAATGTACGTGTATACTAGACAAAATTTCATAAATGGTTCATGTGGTTTCATAAAATCTAAAGTTTCGTCCCTAACTTTAAAAAACATCACGGATGATCGGTGTGGTTTCAAAACGTTTAATGTTTAGACCTTATGACTCACTCCGTTAGTATATGTCCGTTAAGTGAAGAATTTTTTTTATCATTTCAATACCCCAGCGACCATTTATGAGGTTTTCTCTTATTATTATTTTTTTTTAAATGAAATTTAGTATGTAATGGGTCTCTGTGTGTGTGTGTGTGTGTGTGTGTGTGTGTGTGTGTGTGTGTGTGTGTGTGTGCGCGCAATAAAACATAATTACACCCATATCTTCTTTTTTCTTTAGTCTCAACATCAGTAGAACTGGAAATGAGTCGATCTGGGTTGGGTTCGGGTTCAACCAATTTATTAATTGGGTTGAATATTTCAACTCAACCCAACCTTTTTATTTAAATGGGTGGATATTTCCAACCCAACCCAACCTTTCAAATAAATGGGTTGTCACTGGGTTGACCAGTTTACATAATTCACAACCGAACATATTAAATAAATGAGTTAAATCTGGGTTAACCCATTTAAAATAAAAAGGTAAATAAATTAATTAAAGATTACACCACTAAAATTAGTTCCAAACTTAAATAAACTTTTAAAGTATAATAAAATACAATCCCAGTTCACAAATACAAAGAAATTGTTCAAATAAAATTAAAGATATGTAATTTCGAAGTGATTTTGAAGAGTGACTAGTGTTGTTGGCGCAAAAAATAAATAAATAAAATAAGAACTAGGATTGCATTTTTTTTTTTAAATAAATAACAATACAACATTGTAATTTATAAATTAATACTTAGATTAATACATGGTAATATTTAATTAATTATTAACTTAAATATATATTAAAGTTAAATGGGTTGCTAAGTTGAAATTGGGTTGATACCTTTTACCCAACCCAACCTATTTAATTAAATGGGTTAGGCGGGTTGACTCATTTAACCCAAATAGGTTGAAAATCTCAATCCAACCTGTTAATTTTGGGTTGGGTTGATAAGTTGGGTCAATTTTTGCCAGCTCTAAATATCAGCACCAACAACTGCCACTACCTTGATCATCATAAAAAAATCATCTTCATGCCTCCATCACCTACAAACATCATCAACCAACCATTGTCAACCGTGTAAGAATACGGGTGTTTGGAGATGGGTTGAACGTGACAAAAGCAAATGCCTTTTTCCAAAATGTAAATTTTCTTTTAGTGTACGCACACAAAACCAAGTTTACTTATAACATAAATCAGCCCACTCATTCCATTTTACCAGCTCCAACTACCAATACTTTCACAAAATCATAACAAGATTTTGGGATCTTCATTTGGGCAAGTTCTACAACAGTTGAACTAACGGATACTGGTCTATATGATATTTTGGTCTCGGTTCTGACCCGTTTTCCTACTGTGATTGCATGCTTGAATAGCCCGCTGATTTTCCTATCAAACCCAGGGACACCTTGTCCTACCTTTATAGCATGCTTTACCTGTGAGAGAATTTGACCTTCTCCTAGAACAAGAGAATCTAGCCTTGTAGATACTTCAAACAAGTGTTTTGTGGCATCTTTGTTATAAAGCAAGAAATGGTGTCTTGAGATCTCTGAAACAGAAACACCACTAACCTGCAAGAAGGAAAATAACCATGGTTACTTCCAAAATCTCATGTGATACATGTTGTTATCATGCTAGAAGGTGATCTCGTACAGACCCATCTTTTTCTTCCTGCAAATCAGTCCCAAATGAACAAAAAAACGCCTAGAACAAATTGCCCATGTCATTTTCTTTCTGAATCATATTTGTTATTCAAGAAATAGGACCGTTTGTAAATTACCATCGTGGACGATGAGGAGGAGCAGAACTCAGTAGAGAACTCCTCAATGGAGATGGAGAAAAGAGAAGGAGAAATCAGAGGATGAGGATCACGTGTTTCTAGAAGATGATGTGAATTTTAGTTTGTTGAATTCGTCGGTTGTCGGTGACTCGAATTCGCCGGAACTGGAGAACTCCGTAGTGGGTCTTGGCATTTTTTGGGTCTTGAAACTGGAGATGAAACACTCGTAATCGTTGAAGAATCAGAACCCAATGGAGTTGGAGAAGCTGAACTCAGTGGAGATGGAGAAAAGAGAAAGAGAAAAGCAAATCTTGGTTTTTTGACGAATAGGGGGAGAGAGTGAGAGAGAGAGAGAGAGAGAGAGAGAGAGAGATGGCGTGGGACCCCTTGCATATTTAATTTCATTTTTCATTTAAAAAAATAAAAGAAAACCTCATAAATGGTCTGTGGGGTAGTGAAATGACGAAAATGCCCTTCACTTAACGGACATATACTGACGGAGTGAGCCATAAGGACTACATATTAAAAGTTTTAAAACCACGGGGACCTTCCGTGAGGTTTTTAAAGTTAGGGACGAAACTTCAGATTTTGTGAAACCACAAGAACCATTTATGTTTATGACATTATTTCGTAATGAATGTTGTATATGTGTATTATTGAAGTAATTCTAATATGTATTAACATTTGATTATTCATATTTTTATTAGAATGTTATTATTCTATTATAATTTTATGTATGTGCATTATTGTACTAAATTCTAATATTAGTTTTAACATGTGATTATTCATCTATTCGTTGTTGTATAATGACTTAAAGTTGGGGAAACAAAATTCATTGCAAAATAATAACATAAATGTAGTGTTTTTATGTTTTGATACTATTTACTGTTTTTATTTGAACCACCCCTATATATATATATATATATATATATATATATATATATATATATATATATATATATGTAATGGCTAAGATATTATAAAAACCAACTAACATTGGGCTAGAAACAAAAAACAATTACAAAGAGTCACGAAACATTGGATTTTATAACAACAAATTCCAATTAGTTCCAGTTCCAGTATTTCTATTAGCAAACATATAAAAAGAATCAATAAAAATACTTTCAAACATTTTGCTCCTCATATTACCCAATTCCTACACATGATCAATATTATGGTCAAAATAATGACTGGAAGAGCTTTCCTCTTCATAAGCCTAGTTCCAATTGAATATACCCAAGATAAAAGCTCATACATAATAACAAATAGTGGAAATGGAAGATCCAACCATTTCACAACCTTCAACAAAAGTTTTACAAACTGCCTTAGGAACCTTGGACACAGACATGTAGTAGAGACCCAAGCTACCAACATTGACCTAATCAAGGTCAACCGACTTCCCACAAAAATGAACTTTATTTTCTAATTTGCTTATTGCTTCTTTTTTCTTCAAACAACCACATTCCAATTTCTAATCCACCCCATATGTAACACCCATAAAAATCATGCCAAATTTAAACTTTTAAAAACATTTTAAAACCGTTAATCATTACAAAACTTGTTTTCAAAATGTATAATATCATAGTATCCCAGAAACATAAACATAAA